ACTGGTGATAGACTGTTGGGAAGAGAACATTGCACAGATTATCCCTATTATCTGAAAACCAGAACTCCAAGAGAAAAAAGTGGGGATTTGCTAATTGCTGATAGTTGGCTAACACTCAGCTTGATGTTGACTCTCCTTTTGTCCTTTCAGATATTTCCTAGATTTCAGTAGGTCTGTGGTGGTTGCAGAAAGCTGACATCCTAGTGCCTGGGAAGTGCAAATTCTGTATTCACTCCTACATCTTCTGAGAAGCTGTATCTGTGAGCATACAGATGTTATAATGAGACATCCTAGATCAGGACTTTTTCCTTCTTTTACTTCATAATCATTAAAACACAATAACTATTTTTCTTCTTGAACAAATCATATATGTGGTGTGTTTAACATTTAATTTTTAGCTGCTGTGTTAGGCAGACCAATAAGATTATGTCTTTGTAAAGGTAATTCAGGCATAATCGTATTTGAGAGGTTATTTTCATCCCCACCCCCACAAATCCAAATGTATATGAAGAAGGAAGTTATTCTGTAAACAGCTTTCTTGTTAAAGATGGAGTAACTGACAGAGGGTAGTTTTCAGCTTCCTAGGGCCCCTTTCTTATTTTGATAGAAGGCAGGACATTCTCATGAACATAGAAAGTACTTTTCATAGGTTTTTTTTTTCTACCAACTGCATAGTATTCTTTTAGCTGACAGACTCTCTCACAACTCCCAGACTTAGGTAGGATTTGAATCATTACAATGCTACTTTTCTTTCTCGGTTAGAGGCTTTCTATTCACTTGTGAAAAGCCTGGTGGTACGGAAAAGGCAATAGATTGAATTTGGGAGGTTTTATAATGCTCTGCAAGTTCCTCCTTTGTCTGCTATCAACTTTTTGATGTGGATGTGGTTCACAGATGTCATCAGCCATTCCGTCTCCCTGCTGCTTTTTGGTTGCATTTTCTAAGGCAGTAGGTGGGGAAAGAAGTAGCTGGAAGATTCATCAGTGTGGGAGCACTTATTTCAGCAGAGAAATACTTCTTGAATCATTGTGCTAGTTGCTTAACTTAATGACATAATGACAGCCAGGGGAGAATAACATGTTTTTAAGGTCAAAAGAAAGTGGGGAAAGAGGGAAGTTGAGGCAAGCATAAACGAGCTCATTTTCTAACTCCTTTATTTAAAATAAGTCATTGTGTATGGCTAAGGGGTGGGGAAGATTGATTTAAATGTCTTCGCAACCCTGATGCTGTTTTTAGGATAAAATCTGTTAGGCCAAAGAATGTTTTCTCCTAATGTTTATGACTTCAGGACATGGTCTAATACTTACCTAATACATGGCAACTCTGACCCTCTGGGTCTAAATAAGAATACAGAGGGCTTGGGACACCATTGACTTGCCTGTGGAATTTGAGGGTTATTTTTCAAAGCCACGATTGGTACTGGGTTATTATGGATCCATTGTGAAAGCTTGTCGCGTGACCCACTCATACTTAGTAGTCCCAAGGACATCATGGGAACCTGTGTAATGTGTACTCATTGTTTTCCAAAGGACTGCAATAGTCTTTTGAGACAGTCCCCATCCACATCCTATCCTGTAGATACATGATTTACCAAAGCCATTTTATTTCTAAGAATGAAAAACAAGGGTTACCAAATTCATAATCTACATTTATATATCCCATCATGTCAATTACAATATTTAAACCTGTAATTTATTTTTGGGATTCTTGAAGAAAGAGTGAACCTTATCAAGAGGTTTAGTATTACCAAATGATCTGCATACGAATATATTACCCTGAATCCTGAAGTGGGTTTTAAAAGCTATATGAGGGGCTTGGTTTTCCCTTCTACCAGTGCATTCCACAGATAACATAGATATTAAATTATATGGTCTCCTCATCTATTGTTTTGTTAGAAAAATGTAGATTTTGTATTTTATAAGATTTTTTTAAACATAAGTAGCAGTCTCTGGTAAGCTAGTATTGCTATGCAGTTGCATTGTTACAGAATTAAATTATGGATTCTGTCATTCAAAAAAGAATGCTTTATAAATCAAGTAAAATCTCATAACTAAGAAGAATAAGTTTTTGTTTTTGGTTTTTTAATTTCATGCTACGTCATATCCCATGCTTTGGTTTTATAGCCCAACTTGATGTAATTTTTACACCATAATTTTCTTTTTTTCTTTTTCTATTTCTGTGTACTGTTTTTTTTGTTTTGTAAAAATATCATTAGTTTCTGGGGGAAAAGCTTAAGGAAAGTTACTATTTGAAATGGACATTAATATAAAATCATAAAGGCATGTTCAATTTTTTTTCTTTCTGGGTTGGCAGAAAATGTGCCAGATACACTGAACTTCCTTTCTTTGTTCTTTCTTTCTTTTATTACAGTAAATGTAAATGATGTTAAACTCTGTAACTTTTAGCAAATGCTAAAATCCCAACTAGTCCCCTTTCTTTCCCTTTAAAAGCCATTCTATTGTTTGAAATTCTGAATATAAAAGATGTATTTGTTTTTTCTCTTTTGCAGAGGGGTAACAAATCATATTCCATAGTTATATAATACTAATTGTCTTACCTATCTAGGCTTTGCAACCCAAGACAATCCTGCTCAGCAGCTGCCTGATTTCTTTTCCTCACTGCTGCTATGTAACTGCCCCAAACCATAGGAACTGATGCAATGTCCCCGAATGGGAATATGCAGCAAGATGAGAGATAGGCAGAGGGCGGGTGTAAGTTATTTCCACCTGGTTAGAGGGCAAGAGCCCCAAATGCAGCTGCAGCTGCTGATGGGAAGGACTGAAATTCAGAAGAGAGGTCAGAGAGAGATTGAGATTTAAGATCTGGACAATTACAGGGCTGCCTGCAACTTGACACAATTTCATTTCTTTGGGAAAATGAGATGGAAGAAGAGAACAGGATTTAGCCTGAGCCTTGGGGAAATGTTTGCTGTTGGGGTCTGGAGGGAGTAGCAGGAAGGCTGAAGTAGAAGTAGAAACTGCCACGCCATGAAGGAAGTCACCAAGTGCTATGCATCTGCTAGGCTTTGGATTTTTGAGCCAGATAGCCTTAGTTATGATGCTGGAGGGTGACGGGTCTAGGGACTGTAATCCCTGTGACTGTCATAGCCTTTAAGAGAGGTACAGTAGATGTGAAACGATGTTCATGGTTTTGGGGGGGAAGATTCCTCAGATTGTGATTTTTAGTGTAGGTGAAAATTTCCTTACAGTCCGTATATGTATTGAAGTTGTAGAGCTTTTCCTAAGCCACTTGTATGAACTTAGGCAAATCATCTTGATAACATTCCTAACTCTTAGTATGTGTAATTTCTTCATTTTCCAATATTTAACAATAAAATGTAAAGATATATTTAAAGTCAGGATATTATTAGATTTTATAAGTTAATTTAATTTGGTTAAAAATAAGTTTACCAGTAGAAAAAACAAAAGGACAAATAAGGCAATAAGTTTACTTCCAATTTTTTACATTAGGTTTTAGGTTATACTCTCTCATAAATATGTGCAGTTACCATTCAAATATATATATATATATTGGAATTAATGGATGCTTCAAGAAAAGAGCAGCTACAGTGCATTCAAGTTTGTATTATATGTAGCTCGGTAAACATTTTGAAATACACCATGTTTCTCAGTAGAATTATAGAAATGTCTTCATAGAAAGATACTGAAATATGAGTAAGCAAATACATATACCTTTTAGGTATCCCAAATAAGTCAAATGCATAGGATGTATTGAACTAAAACTCTTGGTGAAGTAATTCATTTTTCTTCTGGGAATTCAAGTAGTCTAGCAACTTGCATTCTTCAGTCCAAAATGAAAAGGTTGCTTTTTTTTCTCCCTTCATGCTCCTCCTCAGATAGCTTCATGCACTGTAAAGAATCAACATCTGTGGGAAAATGTTTTCCTTACAGTTGTGCTTATCTTAAAAGACATATGGCGGATTTAGTAATCCAAACAGGATAGTTGTTAGTTGCTTCATGTAAAGGTCATAGTTAAATACAGTGATAGGTCGTATTAAGACATTGTAATAAACAACTTGTCCAGTGACACTCTTTGCTACCACATAAGCGGCAGCTGAGTCAGCATTTAAGTGACATCAAAGGCATGTGGGGATTTTTCGTTTGCTTTTTTGAAACCGGCCCCACTCTGTAGCCTAAGTTAGCCTCAAATTCATGGCTGTCCTGCTGCCCCTGTCTTCACAATGCTGGGATTGCAGATATAAACCACTACGAATGGTTCAATGAAATTCAAATACTAGCCTCTCTTGAAAGTGCTTAGTCTATGAATAAAAAATTGAATCCAAGATATACTTTAGTTTCAAGTATCTAAATGACCTAAGGACATTGCTACTAGAACCTGAAGAGCAATGTGACTGCCAGGCTTACAGATTTATTCTCAGATTATCAAAACTTCATTGGATTCAAGGATATTTTTATATCATAAGGCTTTGAGGAAATAAAAAGCTTTGGAGTCCAGAATGTCTGAGGTAATAAAGTCCAGAATTTATGTACTTGTGCATAATACTTAAATATCCTCCCTGAATTTTCTTAATTAGTTTTACATATGGATCCAGATCCCAAGTCTTAAACAAAGGATTTTACATCTCTTACTGAAAGATTTTTATTTAACTTTTTAATTTCTACTTGCATTTTGTGACACACCTTTCCTAATACTTTATGTTCTAAATATGATATGATGCATATCAAAGTAAAGCAAAACAGAGCAACTAGGAGAGTTATGGAATCAGACCAACTAAATTTTCATTCCAGTTCATTTTTAGCAGCTTTGTATGTGTCCATAGGCAAATCACTTCATTTCTCCTAGTCTCAGTTTCTTTTGCTGGGAGATGAAGCTTTAAGAGTATCAGTTTTACAGGGCAGGAAGGAAAAGTAAATGAGTGACTGTGGCTTCTAAGAGCTCAAAAAGCTTCTATTATTTCTTTAGTCATATCAGAATTTTAGAAATACTAAACAAAATTTTGTCTAAATTTTTGCTATAAGGGTCGGTGCACTCGAGACAACTGCAAGTACCTACATCCCCCACCCCATTTAAAGTCGCAGCTGGAAATTAATGGGAGAAACAATCTGATTCAACAGAAGACTGCCGCAGCCATGTTCGCCCAGCAGATGCAGCTTATGCTCCAGAACGCTCAGATGTCATCTCTTGTAAGTTACGGCAGAGTCTTTGCAAACTGCCAGTGTATGTGGGGTATTCTGGTGCTGGGTGACTGTTTTCATAAAGCTGGGTGCTGCTGCTCACCAGCTCCATGTCTATTGGCAAAGCACGGATGCTTACATTGGAATACCTCTGCAGGGCCTTTGAAAAGTTAAGTACTACAAGATTTATGGCAATGCTTGTGTGCTAATTGCCAGTTCAGAGCTGTTCATATGAAGGAAGCAATCGGGTGTGTTGTATTAAAAACTTGGTTGCATTTATAGAGGGTTTGAGTTTCTAAAAGTAGATTTAAAGAAAAGGGAAATTGTAAAATGAGGAAGATATTACACTGAAACCTTTGACTTGTAGGACACTAATTCAAACAAATTTCTCTTATTTGGTAATTTTGTTATTTGTGGCTTTGTTGTTAATTGTGAGGTGAAGTTTCACTATGATTCAAACACAGCATCCTCCTGCTTCAGTTTCTCAAACACTGGGATTTATAAAAATGTGCCACAATGCCTAGTTTTGTGATTACTTTTAAATAAATTCTATTTTAAAATAATTTTAGATTTAGAAAAAATTCAAAAGCATAACAGGGAACTCCCATTTTATTTCTTACCCAGACTTATATCTTTCTTATTTTTTGTGAGGTGCTAGAGATTGAAGTCAGTGGTTTGAACATGGTAGGAAGCAGCTCTACTACTGAGCTGTACATTGGACCTTACACTTTGATTTTCAACAGTGAAAGTAATTAAATCTAAGGCCTTGTGCATGCTATACAAGCACAATACTACTGGACTGTGTTCTCCTCATATATGGTTAATATCTTATATTGCCATTATAGATGTATCAGAACCAAGAAGCTGGTATCCAAATAGTATTACATAAACTCAAAGTTTTATTCAGATTTCACTAGGTTTTCCATTAATGTGCTCTTTCTATTTCAGTGTCCAATCTAGTAGGTAACATGGTGCATTTATTTGAATTGTTGCCCTTCTGTCCTGTTGTCTGTTACTATTTCTCCACTGTTTCCTATTTTCTATGATCTTGACATTCAAAAATGTAATTAAACTCCATCTTATTAAACTTATGGAGTTTAATAATCCATATTATGCTTTTGAGAATTAATCTTGCCCTGACACCTTAAAAAATAAATTTGTGTTTTAGTCTGGCACCTCTCTGTGGAAATTGAAAACTGTCCCCTGTCTGTTATAAGTTCTTTACGTCTCCAGATTAACTCAGTGGTTTCTCATTCAAATTCTACCTATCTTACTTCCTTTTAACCAGTTTGAAAGGATTGTGCTTCCTTTGTTACCCATCCATCAGTGACTGTCCCTGAAAGTTGAAAGTTGTCTGTAGTATTTAGATGCAGTAAAAATATGGGAGTGGGACAGCCTGGTCTCAGTAAAGCTTGTCTCATTACAAAATAGATTTAGATTTCAAGGAGCAGAATGTTGATGTGGTCTTCTAGCTGGCACATCTGTTTATATAAGTCCAACCACAGGAGCTGTTGAGTACTTGATGCTTTTCCTTATGATACTCTTGTTTCGAGAATATCTAGACAGATTAAGGTAATCTTAATCACCATCAGTTTGCCAGATATGTTTGCCTTTTAACTCAGTGTGGATAATTACATTGATCAATTAATCCTCATGTAACCAGTGAGCTCTTTGGAGAGCAGTTTACCTTCAGTCATACTTTACATGGTCAAAGTACTTGTTGAACTCTTGTGGGCTTTGATGTACTGAAGGATCACAATTCCTCCTTACTGACCATGTGGGAAAATACAGGGAACCACAGAAAAGTAGACATGTTTGTGAACCCCGAAAATGTGAGCACATGGGAATAAACAAAAGAAATATTTTCTACTATTTTTCCACTTTATCATTGTAAAATTCACAAAGTATGTATACTAAAGGTATAAATGTGATGACTTACACATATAATACATATATGCCTTTTTTATAAAATGAGACCACATGGATTAACCTAAAGGATAATATGCCATGTGGGACAGATCAGATTGAGAATGACAAATTATGCATAGTTTCACTTATATGTAGAGTCTTAAAAGTGTTGAACTCATAAGAACAGAGAATAGATTATTGATAGAGGCTTTGGATGAGGGTGGGAATATTGGTCAAAACTTGACTATGACAAAGAATTATTTAATTAACTATTAGTAGTCTCAGACTCTTATGGGAATGAGCAAGGAATGTAGCAAAATTTTTCTAACACTAGCCCAATATATTCTATAGTGCAATAGCAGATAGTTTTCAAAGGTTAAGGGCTTTAGAGCTGTTGGAGGAAGCTGCTTGTTGGTTCCCGGCCGCTAGCTAGCTTAGACCCAAAATAATCACACAGAAACTGTATTAATTAAATCACTGCTTGGCCCATTAGCTCTAGCTTCTTATTGGCTAATTCTTACATACTAATTTAAACCATCTTCATTAATCTGTGTATCGCCACATGACAGTGACTTACCAGCAAAGTTTCAGCATGTCTGACTCTGGCGGTGGTTCCATGGCATCTCTCTGACCCTGCCTCCTTTCTCCCATGCTATAGGCCAAGCCAGTTCTTTATTCATTAACCAATAAAAGCAACACATAGACAGAAGGACCTCCCACACCATAGAGCCCCAATCAAATGCCCTATTTCATGGGATCAGAGAGCCAGGCATAGGGTAAAGTAAGGGCAAGAAAGAAAGACAGCCAGGCAGCAGTGGCACATACCTTTAACCCCAGCACTTGGAAAACAGAGGCAGGCAGATCTCTGTGAGTTTCAGGCCAAGCTGGTCTCCAGAGTGAGTTTCAAGACAGCCAGGGCCATTGCACAGAGAAACCCTGTCTCCAAAAACCAAAGGAAAAAAAAGAAAAGAAAGAAAGAAAGAAAGACTATATTCTTTCTATTCAGCTTGTGAGACCCTCTCTGTTCCAACTCTTGTGTTATAATGTTTAAAGTGACTTCTACTGGGTAAATAAGGAGCAGTCTTTTAAAGGAAATAAGGTGGACAATCACTGAATTTTGAAAGTTCTGTTTTGCCTTCTAATCTGATTCTTCATGAGTGTGTTAATAGGCAATATTTCCTTTTTTCTTTAGTGGGAGTAATTTCAGATCTCAGGCCTGAGAAGATAACTGATATAACTCACCAGAGTACAATTTATTTTATGGCATGTTACATTATATAAGTATTACATAGAAGACCCCCAGGGAACAATTAGAATTTTCCTATCTCATAATATTTAATGGTAGCTGTTGTGATATAATAAGTTAATATAGATTAATTTCTGCAACTATTATGTGCATAAAAATCTAATACTGAGACGGTTGATATGCTGCTCATATGATCTAGGAAGTTGCTTTTGTAGATCTCTTGTAATTGAGCTAATGTGTGTAATTGTAAGTGAAATTTACCAGTCTCATTTGGAAAAAAAAGTCTTTAAAATGAATCCTGATTTCAATAATACAGAGATAATGTATAATTTTGTTTAATTTCTGTGGTACCCATTTTTCCTATGAACTGCTCTGTTATCTTTTTTAATTGTCCCCTTAGTAATAATTTGATACTTGTCCTCAGAACAAATTTTACTTAAAATTTTCCAGACCTCTGTTTGTGTGATAGCAAATTAATAACCATTTGCATCACTGGCTTGAACCGCAGGTCTTTCCACAAAGCATACTTTGATTTGTTTCTAGGATACCAGGAGAGCACATCTGCCTTTTGAAAATTGAATATAGCTTGCTTATTATAAGCTCCTAGATAAAGGGAATGTCACCCTACAAAGAATGAGAGCAAAAGAAGAGATTCTGTTCAGTGTAACTGCACAATGAATAAAAACCACACTTTATCAATTTAAGTGGAATGATTGATATAGCAGGCAAGTTTGTCTGCACTGACATTTGCTATTGTAAAGATCTATCTTTGAAAGCGTTTTCTTCACTTTATTAAGTTTACCAGGTAGAGCAAACAATGTGGCTCCCTAGCATTTTCCAGTGCATTTAAAAAGCTATTGTTTTTGATTCTCATACTCCAGTTGCATTGTCAGGAGACAAAAGAACACTGTAGAAGAATAATAAGAAAGTAGACACGCTAGAAAACTCTCAAATAAAGCAAAAATTTTAAAGATCTGAAGAATTTTAGTGATAAGAAAGGATTTTTACTACTAAAGATGATGATGCATATATATCTATAAAGTCAATATGATACTGTAAGACCATACATAGATGGGGGGTGAGGGTAGGTGGAGGAAATGGAAGGAGAGGAGGGAGTGGGAACTGGGATTGGTGTGCAAAATGAAAAAAGATAGTTTGTTTTCTTTTTTCAAAAAATAGAATAAGTTATTTTTTTTTTTAAAAAAAGTTTGTCACCGGGATGGCTTCCAGGAGACCATCTGTGGAAAAATTAAGTTCCAAGCTTGCTTTTAAGGAATGCTCAATATTAATTTAAGTTATTCATGTACTTTTTAAAATATCCATTGGATATTATTTACAGTAGTAATACACTAAACCTCCTAGAAACACAGTTTGTAGTAAGTTATATATTTTACCATATGACTTCATTCATATACGGAGTCATCAAAAGCTGTTCTCATAGAATTAGAGAATAGAATAGTTGTTACTAGGAAAGGTAGTGAAGAGAACAGATTAAGGAAGAGAGAAGAGAGTCAATGGTTGTAATTTTACAATTAGATGGAAAGTGTGATGTTTGTATGTTTTATATACATGCAGTGCACAGTATGACACAATTGAATAATTCATGACACAAAGTATATCTTTAAAATGGTTTTCATTCTACTGAAATACTAAATTTAGTATAGATGTACATATAAAGGGGGAGAGTGTATATATGTGTGTGTTCACTTAGTGCATTGTATCTGATAAATATGTCTTATTATGTGTAATTTAAAAATAGGCAGTTACATAGCTTGATCTGTTACATCACAAAACCATTTTATGAAACTCTTCATTTCTTAGCCTCTGGTACTATCGAGCTTATTAGAATTGGTAC